CCAGCTGACCCTTACTAAAACTACTGAAACAGCGACCCTGTCACGTATAAGCCATGACTTCCAACTTTCCAATTTATCTTTAGTTTGTTTAAATATGAATCTCTTACCCAACATGTGTATGTATATAGAATAGATATAGGTACTTACCTAAAAATACTTTTGGGATTTACTTTTTCTTTATTTAGCTGCGCGGACGACTTCCAAATTGGAAATAGGTAAGGTAATATAATCATAATCAAAGTGCATATACACAATACAGCATCTGCTTTGTACCAGTTATGGAGAGTCCCATATAAAAGTGCGTCCACATCTGGCGAATACACAGCCCGCTCGCCGCTCGCAACCCGCCCGCGAGCTTTGCGCGTGCATATAGTTATTCGTTTACTGCACGCGGGCAGCCCGCAAACGATACCCGAGCGGCACATTCGCGGCGCATTCGCCAAATGTGATAGCACCAGAGTGATGTACAAAATACCCAATACAAAGTATCTGAACTACAAAATGTAAGATACTATAAATTAAGTATTTCAGATAAGTATCAGATACAAAATACTATTGACATTAGTATCTGAAATACTAGATACAAGATAAGTATCTTTAATAGTGTCCGACCGAAACTAGTTTCACGGCCGAAACCGAAACCGAAAACGAATTTCGGCAACGGTGTCTGTTTCGGCCGAAACCGAAACCGAAACCGAAACTTCCTTGCAAGGCTCATATTTTGAGGAAAATATAAAGAAAACGTTATTATAATCAGTCTCTATTGTTTTTAGTAGGTATTGTTTATAGTCTAGGTTTCTTTTAATTACTCATAATATTTAAAAAATCGACATAACCCGTGTCATAATCGGGTCTTTTACCTTAATAATTTCTCAAAACAAAATTGGTAATATGAAAGTTAGTATGATCCTAATAGATGCTACACTAGGAGCATCATCGAAATCGATGGCTAAATGCAAGAAATTGCTGTGTTAGTGGCTCATTTGTTTTCGTTTGCAATGTTGGGTTTTCTAGAGCATTGTCCTTTATAAATATCAGCTTAGAATTTGATCACATTTTATTTTTAATGAAAATAATTCTAAAAGTATCTTATCGGAAAAAGTATTTGTCAAATACTAAGATAGAACGAATGTATTTAAATACAAGACGTAAAATGGAATTTTAAAAAAGTATTTCATTTACAAGATCGAAATACGTATTTTGTATCTGTATTTCAGATACTTTTATCTTAAATAATTCACATCTTTGGATAGCACGCTAACAAGCGATGAGTCTGTTGCTATACATCGGGCTCAATTACTCTGCTATTACCGACAAATTGTCGGAAATCTAAATAAAACCGGGATGCACTATACACATGATAGTCACACATACTACCAAGTTAATTATTCGGTTTATTATTTTTAGATTCACTTTTATAGGTTCCGATCCCGTAGAATATCAGAAATAAAGTGTAGCTTTTCGTCGTAAATAAAGAACCTTCATGTCATTAGCAAACCACTAGAAATCCCTCAACGAACCTCCAAGCTAGAACATGAACGCTAAAAGATTAAAAATAAACGAAAGAGCCAACTTGTTCCAGAACTCGGAAAAACGTATCAAAGTTTTAACAGTTTGCTATCTGGGCAATCGATCTAACGTTATTAAGGCATCAATCAGTTACAATGGGGCTGGTGGAAGGGGGGTGAACTAATCAAAACTTGGGTACAAGACCCGGGACACGAGTTGGGGGTTGTGGCCGCAATGAGCGATTGTACAGACAAACTTTTACCTAGACGCTTTGTATTTACGGAGTAGGCAGCTACAGTTTTAATTAATCTGTTAGCGGTTGAGTTGAGTGAATTACTTGCTGAGTTTCATGTTTTCTTATTTGGTAGCTATTTAACGTTTTAATACAGAAAATGGTCGTTCATTTGCTCATTGATACGCAAAAAATACTGTCGATATTCGACAGTATGGGGGGGCTTGGGTGAGGTGGGCCCAATTACAAACCGTTCGAACATCGAACACAATAATCTGTAACACTAGAGGGATCACGTCACAAGTGCGTTATCGACTATGTAGAAAATGAATGATGATGATGATGATGATGAATTCTTTCGCCCGGGTGAGGTGAGAGGGAGTGTCAGACTATTACTGACTAAAAACCACCCCGTCCGTGTGCCTGCACTTCAAGCCGGAGCCCCGGCAACCCGTTAAGTCCTCCGCGGCTCCGTATCAGCATCAGCCCAATTTGTGGTGACTTATGGCTCTTTCAGGCGCGCTCGGAACGCGACGCGTCGTACGCTCGGGTATGGTTCTGGTCGGGCGGCGAGTTACCCATGCTCGCCGTCCGTAGGCCCGTGCTTACAGTGGCTGGAGATCGCCTCGTGATCCCCGATAACCAGAGTGTCTTGCGACGGCTGGGGCGTGAGGTTCGTTCCATCACGCGCCCCACCTATTTCATAGCGGATTTAGAACCCTAGATATAGGTTTTAATAGGCAGCTTTAAATCAAAATACTTACCTACCTACATACAACCTCCTAATACCAGTGGGTGCTATTAAAATAAATTAGTTCAAGACATTTCAAAATCAATTTCCTACCCAAACGCCCACACATTTCCATACCGGTCAGTTTAATTACGTACTCCTAATACAAATTACGTAAATACCAAAGTGATTATAAACTAACTTAGGAATTAGGATATAGGGGCTCCTCATCGACCTATGAAAATTTGCGACTAGTTTGTTCTAAATTCAGATTGAAATCACATGCTTTGTAGTACAAAATGTCATTTCTGAATTTGAATACCTACACGTCAATAGCTCGCGGCACTCCTCTACTGGATCCACCACGAATGGGGCCTATTAGGGCTGATGTCAATACGGAGCCGCGGAGAACTTAACGGGTTACCAGGGGTTCCGGCTCGAAGGGCAGGAGTAGGAACGGGGTGGATTTTTTGTCAGTAGGAGTCTGACACTCCCTCCCGCCGCACCTAGGCGGGAGAAGTCATTCCTCAGCTGGACTACGGACTCTACGCTTGGTCAGCTGGTTGGACAAAGGGTTTAGGTTTGTCAAAGAGCATCTTTATCATCAACATTTGCAGTGAGTCCTGGTAGTGAAGGATATTGACAAATATATTCCTCGGATTTGTTGGGTTCTAAATACAGACAATCTTAATTTCGTACATGGCCTTTGATTTCTCTGGTGTTACACTTTATGCTTAGGCTATTGTGTTCGGTGTTCGAAAATATTTTTTTACTTTTTTATCTTACGGCCAAGACTGCCTCGTTGGTGTGCAAGACTATCGCAAGTGCGACTACCGGATAAGGAGTTCGAATCACGGACCGGGCAAAGTAATACTGGGTTTTAAAAAATGTTTAGTGGTAGCAGTAGCACGGAATCTGGAATTGTGCCCGGTATATGGCAATAGGCTCACCCCCTATTACATAGGACTCATAACATACCTCTAAATAGTGAAAAGTGGGTGTTACACTGTACAGTGACATTAAATGCCGTAGATAATTTGCACCTCTGCCTACCCCTTCGGGGATAAAAGGCGTGATGTTATGTTATGTTTTTTATCTTAAATTATCTTTAATATCAAATGCATTGTGCATCGCGTGGATCCACGTTTAGACACACGTTGGGTTAAAGCATATTTTTAGATAGAATGTGAAAAAGGCTCAATTTATTTACACTGAATCCTTGGTCGACTAGTTGTAAGTTGATTCTTTGGTCGTAAAATGTTATTGGAATATTTCTAACCTAACCTATTACTGTCGATGTTCAAAAGGTTGGTAAATGGACTCACTTCCCCTAGGTTATCCCCACCCTGTCCATCATTAAGAAAATCTGCCTTTACAGATTACTGGGCGCTTTGTTGGCTAAGTCCTTCAGTTTTTGAGTTATTTTGTATTTCAATATTGACGCCTATGCCTTCAAATAGAGAAAAATGCCTCGTTGGTCGACTAATTGTAAGTGCGACTATGGTGCATCATACTGCCATTCGATTAACCGATTGAGCGATTGATGCCATAAATTACCTACTGCCATTCGGCCGGCTGTAACCACGACTATTGAGTAAGGGGTTTCGATTTTCGGTTATTCGAAAATTCTCATAATTGATGAAAAGTAGGTATATGTGTGTTACATTTAATAATTAATATTGGTATGAATATGTGCTGAATGGTTTGCCGTTCAGGCCATATTAAAGGTGTGATGTTATTCTTAAATTATAGGTAATAGGTAAATAGGGGGTAAGGTGAATGAAAAATAATCAGACAATTATGCTCAGGAGTATGTAACTATCTTTATTTCTCAAAAAAACCACCAATTAATATACATTTTAAAACATTAATTTATTAATGGATAGGTTAAATTGTATACCTACGTACGGACAGGCGCGGCCTCAATATAATATAATATTATTACAACTATATACTTCATAGTACATGCAACGCGAATTATTGTCCAAATTACATATTTATTGTCTGTGTAAGACCGCGCTGCGACTATCGATAGGTAAGTGACACTATGTTAAATATTGTCATAGTCATTCATACATTATATCTTGAAATATCGAATGCACAATCTACGTAAATTGACTAGATAATTGAAGAATAGTTACTTTCATATTTTTTTGCCATTTCGTACGAGTTTCCGAACGGAGCGCCAGTGTTGCCACAATAAAGATATCTCCCCGATTTAAGGGTATTCAAATCTTTATTGATATTGGGTTGTATGCATTCGATAATTCACTAGAATTACATTTTTTATGTCCATTGATATGGCTATATCATATGTGTTAGTGACGTTTGCGACGCAATCGCAACGATATGTTATTGTGAAGAATCTACATTTAGTTATTGAAATATTTCCAAATATTTTTCCTTTAGTTAAACACCTATTTTAATACGCATCCAATAAACACTACTCAATGTATTTATCGACTAACTACCTAACTATCAATGACTTTAAAAGACAATAAAATAATTTGTAAAATTCTACAGAATATTGTTAGAAAATTATATATAATATAAATAAAAATATGTATAGATATCTCGCTAAATCGTAACATGTAGGATACAGGCCGTCGTAAGACGGGCCACGTAATACATAGAAGATTAATGAATTCATTGACTTCTTAAAGCCACAATATATGACGTGTAATATAATTTTAAAGCCAAATTTTATAGTCTGTGAGTTTATGTCGACTCATTGTCGATACTTATATGTCGATAGTTGATTAGATATAATAATATATATAGTACACAAATAGGTAACAACTTCCTTAGAATTACAGCCTTCACTTTCAGTGCGATTCCGATTAAATTACACAGTTAGGATATCTGCAAAGGTTTGTAGACAAGTTGTTCTTCACGTGGGATATAGTGGAGACCATGGATGGTGTACTCATTGAACAGAAGGTGCTCGGGCCATCCATCTGCGGCTGCTTCGTTCCTATATTAAGATCCATTAGTACACAAATATTAAATAAGCCGCGAGCGGCGCATTACTAATTTACAATTAACTATGTATTACAATAAACATGAAACATTTAAATGTAGTTAAAGCATTTTTCTGCCGGGACTCGGTTGCGCTACCATTCGTATCACTCGAAGTATAACGTAGTATTGTCTGCCCGCACAGCCGAAGCCCACCTAGCCGTCTTGAAGGCTTTTGATATATAATACATGGTAACCATATACTTAGCGACTAATCACAACAATTATCAACTATTTTGGAGAAAACATATATAGGTCACAAGATTAAGTATCTTCATTGTTACTATGTATTAGCTTTCAAATACTTAAACAGAAATTAAACTTAAATAGCAGAAAATGTCCATCATATGGCAGTCAACTGCTAAAATAATACAAATATAAAAGTAATAATACTGATTACCAATAATGTATTGTTCTAACACATAGAGTACAGAGTATGAGCAAGTGAAGGGTAGTAAAACTATTCCTTTGAAGGACGAAGCTAGAAGAATATTTTCCGCTTCGATTCTCTTGAGGTCGTCGGGCTCGGACTGTACCTCATAGTATTAATAAAAACTTTTTTCATTAAGAAAGAAATACGCGAATATTCTTTGTTATTTAATAAATGTTGCGATCAAAATTTCAATAAAGTCGAATCGAAGCGAAAAGCAGATAATAACTTCCAACTGGCTAGCCACCAAGTTATATAATCATATTCGATTATTAAGATCCTAAATATATAAATGGAATATTTCCTTGTCACGCTTATAACTCTACTAAACATCAAATTGTAAACATCCATACAGATTATTGTCAGATTACTTTTTTTAAACATTTTATTGTCACGATTTACTTATATGGAATTGACGGCAATAAGATAATTGCTCGAATCGTATATATAATGTATTTATTGTCAATATCGGAAGTACCGTATAACATTATCATGTCCGTTCGACCTAGGGACTCGAACATTCCAAGAAGAAATCCTCCTAAATCCTTAAACCTATCGAAAAATACAATGCGATTATTCAAAAGGGGTATATTAAAATTCAGAGATCGCATATCTACATCGAAAAACTTCGGTTTATAAATATAAAAATATTGAAAGATAATGCAGAGAAAGCTCGCATCTTAAGTGACGAGGGTCGTCTAAGCGAAAGCGTTAAAGATATGCTTTCGATATGACATTTTAATACTGATATTTGGATTTAAAGCCCATAAAGTGTTTTGTACAATAAGGGAGATAATCCCTGCAGTAGAATGTTCTAGAACGTTGGTTCGTCCTGTGGGTCCGAGTGCCCGGAGAGTGTTCAGTAGTAGGGGACGAATTCGGGGGCTGCATACTCTAAGTAGGGGTGGTAGATAGCGCGGCGGGCCGGTGGCAGTATCACGTCGGAGTAGCGCGAGAACTGCGAGATCTGGCGACTACCAGCCGGTGGCTTCCTACAAACAAACATCACACATTTTAAACTCCAACCTTGACATTTATGAAGTATTTAGAAAAGCATTCAAGCAAGTTCTTATTAGAAAATTCTTTATCCGCTTTGATACACAATATCTATTTAAAAACGAATTCCTTTCTCTTTGTGTTAGGGAAACCTAAACAAAGCAAACAACTACTTAAATGTCAGCCTTTATTACGTCTTACTTTATAATTAGCCAAAACATTGTATTTTCAGTAATTATAAGTTTTGTCAAAAGAACAAAGAATTCTATTTTGAGTTTTGCGAACAGTGAACTGGGAATATCTACTTTATGGTAATGTACGGAGGATATAAACTTACTTGCTGTGCCTAGAAGTTGGTTCATCGGCAGGGTACTCCATCTGCAGTGGCTGCAAGCCTCGGGGTTCCTGTTCACCATATGATCCGTACACGTAGTCATCACTGTCAAAAAATAATTAAATAAGTAAATTTCTCCTGAAACACCTAGTTCGACCTGTAGGTACCCTATTCAGAATTTGATTAGTCTAAGGATATAATACGATAAAGTATCCTATTACTATAGTTTATGATATTAAAGGGTAGAGGAGATCGGATATCTTTGTCCGTAAATTACTAACTTTCAGTTTCAGCTCAATCTGATTAAAGCCTCAATGCTGACCCTAATCTCTAGGAAAAGCTTCAGAAAATAGAACTTAGGTTTAAACTCAAATATATGGATTATATTTAATCAATAATAACCTCTTATCCAGGCCCTATTCTAAAACATTTACTTAATTAGGCCACAAGACCTAATTTACATAACAAATACCATTTGTACAAATCCTTCAATCGTCTCCAATAACACGTTCATTTCATTCGAATGAACATTTAAATTAAAAACGAAAACAAAGACGCCACGCGAAAGCAATCTCGCCGAAATAATGACACATCGTTTTGAGACGTTGCCGTGACATATTTAATAATCAACGGAACATGAAAGCGAGGGGAAATCACAGACGTAACATTTAGATACTGAGGATTACATTTCCTTTTGCGAGCACTTTTAATTTTGGCAAAAAATCTCGCAATAATGCCTCGGCCGGGTCGGATTAACATGAACACGCCCAGACGTTTTAAAAGATTTCCTTTCGCTTAACAATTTGTGAGTCGCGTTTTGTTATGTTAAAAAGTACGGCTTCAGCCGCGCAACAGCCGGGAAATTCTCCCAACACGTTTTGAGTGTGAGGTAATTTTTCGAAGTAGTTTGGCAACATCGAATTGAGTAATCGGTAAGTTTCGAAATTCAAAATTATCGTTTATATTGTTCATTGTAATTCAGAAAGTTTCGGTTCGTAACGAAATTGTTTTGATTTGTTTTACTTTTTAATTTGTAAGGTTCACGAAGTTTGTTAGTTTCAAGTTGTTGCCAATTATTTGTTTTTTTTTTCGTAAAAACGTAAAGTTTTCTTACTTTGACCTAGACATTGAGTTGCTGTAAATTTACATAACAGTTACAAAAAGGGTGTACAGAACAACTCGGGTTTCGAAATTTCTGGCATATCATTTAAAATGTACCTAGGTATCATTGAATACTGCAAAGACAGTATTTTTTTGGTATAGAATAAATTAATAGATAAACCCTATCAGTAATAGATTGTATTCAGGCTCACCCTCGTCCAGAAGTTAGGTCCTTGAGTTCTTGCTTTTGTTCAGCTTCGTATTTTCTTTGCAGCTCAAGTACATGTTCCTGACGAATCATTTTCTTCAGAGCTTCAAACCTAATGAACATAAAATACAGATAGGTACCGGTTACAAATTATCTCTTACCATATTAAAAAATTAGTTGCGAAGATTTGAGTGCATCTTCCTTTAGGTAATATTTTTTTAAATAGCCATAAATCAAATAGGTGTTGTTTGAAATAGAAATTAAAAAATAAAATGGTGTACCAGAAAAACATATTATACTTTGAACTAAAACGTAAATATTTCGCGCCATACCATAGACTACAAATAATAGATTTCTTTTTTCGCACAAAATGCTGCCAAAAATAATGATAAAAAAATATTGTGCCATTTTTCATTAATCGTATAACATAGTGTCTCAAAAATCCTTATAATTGATATTTATCGGATTCCTTCGCCCTGAGTACTTAGGTACTTACTTATAAAATTATTTTTAACGAGCTTTCTTCGACAAGTCCCCTTGGGCTCGATTTAATTAGTAAGTAAGGGACAGACTTCCATACTTAATTGGAAAGGTAAATCAATTTTAGGCACTTGGAAATAATTTTATTGCTTTGACCTTTAATTTGAAGACGGTACCTAACCTAGTTAGATCTAAGATTTGATGTTCATATTTAATCTGTACATAAATAACTGGGGCATAACTTATGCACCAACTATTGGAAAATGATATCTAAGGCTTCCAATGTAATAAGAGACCAACTTATTGCTGTCTATAAGTGTATTATCTATGAGAAACCAAAGTTTGTTGTCCTAAAACTGGTTTCATTTTTATAACGAAATTGTTTCGGCATTTCTACTTAGTGTAGTCAGTTAGGAAATATCCGCCTCATCGTTGGCCTGAAAAATTGACGTGTAAAATTGTTGCCTTGTAGCCTATTTGCAGAAATAAATTCACTAGTTTCACTTAACATTTTTGAATTTCTGATGAAGGGTTTAATGCTTGACTGTATAAGAAAATGTTATTATAATCGAATAATAATAATTATAATAATTATAATAGTATTCCCACCTGTCTCGCTGTGGCGGTACCATGAAGTTAGGTCCTCGAGGACGTGACGGGCCAGGGTATCGCAGGATCTTACCCGATGTATGGGGCACGTTCAGCATGCCGAACATCTGAAACAAAATTTATGTATTTACATATTTTCTAATTGTCTTGTCCTTAGATTAAAAATAAGTAAATAATTATAGAAAAATATTATTATCGTTTTTGGTGTAATTATTTTCAATGCATATTTTTAGGACAAAACGACGTTTGTTTTTTGATGATCCGTTTTCTAGTTTATTTCTCACATTTTGTGGCAACAAAGAAGTTAAATCAAGAGTACCTAAGTATTAGTTAGTACCTCGTTACCTTTACGGTGACATATTAGAGATAAGCAGCTGCGGGTTGATTAGAAGACATCTCAGCTAAACCCATAAAATCCATCATTAGACAAACTGACAGCCTTTACGAAATTATCCGTTTTACCAAGAGAAGAGCCACTAACCGATTAGGAATTAATTAGGGGAGACCTACGCATTGAGCATTGGAGTGGACATCTTGTACTAAAACACCGAATAAAAAAAGGAGAAAAAAAAACTATAACTATAAAAAATAGTAGGTACTCTCAATTACGCGTCAAATATCATACATCATATATCATACATCTTTAGTCTACCCTTGGATATCCTGGGTCGATTGAGGGACTATATATTGCGATAGACATCGAGATCCTACTCGACTGACATGCGTGGATATTACGACAATCCTTTTGTAGAGCAGGCCAGTAGTCATGCAGAGGACAAGAGCCGTATTACTCCTAAGGTAAATTAGACAAGTGCAAAGGGTAAAAATAGAGAGCCAGGTTTCAAAATGCACCGCATGGCACCGCGAGATTTGCCCACAGAGTAGTGGCGTCGCCTAAAACAAAAAATTAGAGGTGCCTTTGATGAGTTTGCCTTTGGAGGAGGAAAATCATCTAATGATGAATGCGGACTTCTCCCGCCTGGGTGATGCGGGAGGGAGTGTCAGACTCTTACTGACTAAAACCACCCCGTTCCTACTCCTGCACTTCGAGCCAGAGCCCTAGTAACCTGCTATGTTCTCCGCGGCTCTGTTTTGGCATTAGCCCAATTGGGCCCCATCCGTGGTGGTCTACGTCTAATGGCTCTTTGAGGCGCGCTCGGAGCACCACGCGCCGTACGCTCGGGGTGAGGTGAGGTTTAATCCGATTCATATCACCCAAGGACTGACGATGTTAAGGCTTAATAACTCGTCAAGTACCGTCATTATAGACAAAATAATAATTATAGAACTATAGGTTGCGGTCACCGGTGACCGCTTGGTGTTTGACAGTTTAAAGAGTACCTACGCACAGAAACTTAAAATCCTAAATGATTTTCAATGGACAAACAATTCAAATAAATGAAGTATTTAATTAAGTATTGAAAATGAATTCTTTGAACTTGAAATGTAAAAGCGTTTATGAAAAATAACTTAAATTGAATTTCATGTCGAAAGTTGGCCACTTACAATATTATAAAATTTTTAAATGTTGTGTGCAAATGGCTCAGTAACTACCAATCTTAATTAAGTTGTTAAAATCTTGGATTTTAATTAAAATACGAATCAAAGTCGTCTGCGGCTTCTGACCTCTTGTATAAATGGTACCTACTTTTGCAAATATACTTAGAAAAAATCGAGTAGTTACTTAATTATGTACTAGGTATTTAATAATAAAAATTTATAGTTAATAATTTAATTTAAAAGCCTTACATTCGATACTAATATGACTTTGAATCCAACCGAGTGTTTGTTTACGAAGTAAAATTTAATCTGTAGTATGATTTTATGTATAAAACTACAATAATTATGTGAATATACAGATCACTTGCATTTGTAGCTATTTTAACGCATTTTTTTTATTTATAAAGTGGTGATATCTAAAAAAAAAACATTAAAACAATATTTGTAAACACCATGTAAACGAAGGTATATTACTCACACTACTCACCAAAAGATGGCGTTGTTCTATATAAAAATAAAAATCACGCAAACCTAGCGACAATTTAATACAGATACCTAGAAAATGTAACGAAATAAACCAGTGTCTAAGATGAATGCCTGTATTTAGCGTGGGCAGCCACTGTTCGTAATGACCAGCCATTTTGTAAAGGTCACAGGGAACAGGGACGATTCTCAATGAGGCGCTAAAGCATTTTGTAGAAATAGGGTTACTGTGTAGTCTGTGTACAATGGCCGACTGCGGCGGCAAAGGTAATGTTATATTCTGCCTATTTTTTACATTTTATTTTATTTTAAGTAAATTTATTATTCTATAAGATTAAACTACAACTAAACTATTAAATAAAAAAGAAAGTAAAAGAAAACAACAAAAATTATACCCTTAATTTAGGCGTCAAAGTATTCGTCCGCATCACTATCACAGGGGAAAGTTCCCAGAAGACTGGCAGCATTGCCACGTTGAATGGCAATGCTTATTTTCTGTCCGAAGAAAAAGCCAGCCCTCTGGTCACGTGTAGAGTCGATTAGCCTACGGGCGATGTCTTTAAACACAGAGTGTGCACTGGGACCCCATGGCCCAAGTGTTTCGACCCCAAACGGCTCAAAACAGTAGTTACCCACTAGATTTGAATATTTACGCCGTTTGAGGGCCTCTGCCGCGGAAGCAGCCGCACCAACGCATGCAGCGGTGCTTAAAAGATGTGATGGCGCAAGGGTGTCTACACAAGTCGCGTCCCACACCAAAGGCCTACCCATCTTCCAAGGCAGCAACGACATACCATCTGGTCTTTTGCCGTCATCACGTACCAAACCATTAGGTTCTAATACGGCTGGTACACCGGCTGAGGCAAGAGCACGACGAATGATGTCGTTGATGCTGGCATGGCGAGCTATGCGGCCTGCACTTCTGCAACAAGAAAGACCATGGTGTCCCAAGCCATCGACTCTTTCTCCACAGTGACAATAATATGATTAAACTAGTATGAAACAAAAAGAAAGTGTAAAGCTATCGTTTCTCCATTTCTACTGAAAATGCTTTTTTACTATAATCAAGTCAAGATCACAAGGAAATTAAATTAATTATTGCAAATTGACTTTTAGAAGGCAACATTTAATTAATCAATTATCTTTTATACATCAAAGAGGAATATTTAGAATATTTCTATTATTTTCGAAACAAAATTACAAATAAAATATATAAAAACCAAAAAGAATTAAGCGACCCTGCCAGGATTCGAACCTGGAATCTTCTGATCCGTAGTCAGACGCGTTATCCGTTGCGCCACAGGGCCAGTTGATAATGATGTCAAAAATAACCTCAACGTTCTACAACGTGGTATCACAATGCCGCGTGACGTCACTCAAAGCGGCAAGGCCCATTGGTCGAGTATATTTTTTTAGACGTAAAGTATAATCTCATAGACATGTGTTGTTTTGATAGAAACGAGTTATCAAGGCCGTGCAGTTGAGAGATATTAAATTATCACTATTTATTGCAGTGATTTAATTTATATTAATTTGTAAATGCAATACCATGATAATTTTAAATTATTTGTAAATATATCAAATTAAAAGAAGAACTTGTATCTAAAAATATTCTTGTTCTATTTTAATTTAAGCAAAAGCATAACCAATACCATAAACTTGCTATTAAAATGCCACGAATATTACTTTACAAATAACATTCATACCCAAGCGATCTAAAAATAAACCTTTATCAACCGACAACGTTCTAAAAACGTTCCTTTTACTACGATAACGAAGCAAAAATACACAAATTGGAAAACAAAATGAATGAAAAAAGTCTTTTGTCAAATAGCTGAAGGTCTTTGATACACGCCATTGTTTTAAGCTTCCCCTATTGTGCGGCATTGAATGAATTCGTCGCCAGTAAAACCATTGTGCGATTCCTAACCAACTTAACCTGACACACGGTGAAACCAGGAACTAAAACTTACAAATATGGCAAATTTGTAATTTCCTTACCAAGCAGCGCCACCCTGAGGTTTCAAGTCACGCTGGATGTATCGCATTCTTTTGTTAAATTGAAACTTGTATTGGCTGTATACGCGCCATGTTACAAGTCGTCTTAAAAAAAGTATATTTAAAAATAATTGTCGCTTCGTTCTCTCTGAATTTTATTTTTAGAATGTAAGAGACAAAACTTTTGTTTTTTTTTTGCGCAGTAAAATATTTTTGTAAATGTTTTCTTTTCGTGATTTTGTTTTGATGTCGTTATTATTTTTACTAGGTACGTGTTTTTTTCACGTATTTCTTACAATCCTATCTAAATTAACACGTTTAGGTGATGAAAAGGGGCACTGACACTTCATGTCACATATGATTGGACCCTTTAAGATCCTTTGTAAAGGGAACCCTTCATATTTTTATGACGCATTGTAACACCTACGCGATTACAAGGAAAAATAGACAGCATTTTGTACAGAATAAAATAAAATGCAAATTATATTCTTTTCTTTCCCTCCTTCATTTTACATCTACTGATAGAAAAATAAAGAAGGACAAAATATAATGTGACAGAATTACTTCTAAAGGGTCCAAGTGACAGCTCACGAAGAGCGTAATACCAAAAAAATAAGTTTGGAATTACATAAAATACCTAGACTAATTGCTAAAAATTTAATAAAACATAACATTTTCTAACATCTCATACTTACCAACTGTTCGGTCACGTTATTACGATTCTTAACAAAGTTCAAGTTTGTTACAATTTTGTTAATTTCTTTCCGAACTTCGTAACAATGTAGGTAATACTTGAACGATTGGAAGTTTTCCGAAGTTTTTGAGGAAAAAGAATAAGGAAGTAGCCAAGTACGTCTTAAGGTAAATATTATAAAGTTTGCAGTATTGTGGAGGAAGTACTTATAGGAAAATATGTTTTTCCCAATGGCATTTATGTATTTATTAAAGAAATATTGGCTGATGGAATTACAAAATTGGTGATGTGGTTAAAAGTATCTATAATAGCTATTAAATTAGAAGCTGGCCATACTAACCAATATTCAGGAATTTATACTTAGGGTGGGTTCTGACAAACCACAATATTCTAAACTGCGATCTCATAGTTGTGAGCTATGGCTAACCATATTATGTCATCATCATCATCATCAACAGCCTATAAATGCCCACTGCTGAGCAAAGCCTTTTTTCACACGGAGAAGGCTTGAGCATTAATCACCACGCTTGCTCAATGCGGGTTGGTGATTTCAAACTTATAATTAAACTCAAACTCAAACTGAAAACTCAAACTCAAAAGCATTTTTTTCAATTAAACCATAATTTGGTACTTTTGAAACGTCAACAAATATGAAATATATAATAGTCTGTCAGTCTGTCCGTCAGTGAATCTAGGCGCTCGTTCCAAAATGTCGATTCGAAAAAATTATAAAACCAGGTATCCTCACGATGTTTTCCTTCACCGTTTGACAGTGGTGTCTAGATAATCTTAGAAAGTACATGTAACTCGGAAAAAGTCACATTGGTACCTGCCGTTGGTAGGCTTCGAACTCTCATGCATGAAAAGCGGGCTTAAACCTCCGGGCCACCACGACACTATGTTATGTAGAGGAGACCTATAAATAGTCCAGTAGACTGTTGATCATAAGCAGATTCAACTAACCTTTATGGCCCTCACACATGACGACATTTTATAATGCTTGCGATGCTGTCGCGCGTTCATTATATTAATTCTAAGTTACTTATAAGTGCACTAGAATTGTGAAATTGTGTCGTCGAGGTCGCGGTAGGCAAAGGCTTTTAGGTCTACCTACAAATTGACTGCACGATTGACGCGGTGGCTGGGTAACTGGCTGCCGTACAACGTGTCGTAGGTTCGATTCCCGCACTAAATCACCCTTTGTGTGATCTACAAATTGTTGTTCCGGGTCTGAGTGTGATGTGTATGTTCCTAAACGCAGCCACGATACAGAAGAAAATCCTAGTGTGGGGAACCTTTAAATAAATGCTGTTCTGCCCAACAACCTATATCCAGCAGTGGATGAAATAGAATCTAATAATGATAACGTAGAAGTTCCCAGAAGATAGAAGATGCATTACCTCATCATAATCTGGAGTGCGAACGACGTTGGCAGGTGCTTTAGTTATGACTCTGCCAAATTCTTCACGGGGTAGCGCCGGGAACCGGTATCTGAACCTTGGGAGGAAAGGAATAGAGTTTATTTATGCTTGATAACACACGTTATTAGGAAAGTAGACAGGCTTTCATATCAATCGTTTAAAAATGTATGAAAGTGGGAGGATTATCGCACAATGAAGTTTACAAGTTGAGTTTACATGCATTTCCAACTAGTAACAATAAAATTACATATGAAAAGGAAATCCCAATCATAAGTATAACAGTGATCTATACAACACCAAAATCCAAAGCTTTTCGCATTTACATCTAGGAAAGTAGGGTAAATCCACGTATTGTCGTCCTCGCGCGGAGTAAACAACGAGATCTCACAGAAATATTTTCCATTTACAAAGTCAACATTTATTTTATAGGGTGGAAGTACATGTTTTCGTCTTACCTGGGGGCGGCTCTGGGTATCGCAGTGTATACAGGCCATTCGTTGTACATTAACGGATCACGGTATGAATTGACTTCATTCATGATTTCTGGCGCTCGAGCTTGCCGCTTTGAGAATCTGTGGACAATTATTACATGACTTAATATGATATAATCCTCGGAAATACATTAAACGCCATGGGGTTCACCGTATACTTTCAAATGGTTTTCTACCTATTGGCGGTCAAAACCTTATGAGATAGATTGAAACCTAATCGTCATAGTTCAAAGGTGGATTGTAATGGATGGATGAATTATGATAGAGCGTCGCTATTCGGTCTCAGTCAAATGTCATCAGTCCTTTAGTTTGCTCTCATGACACCTGCGGGAAGAGCGGTGACCAAAAATATAATAGGATAGATGACTAATTTTATTTTAATGTCCGTCTGGTAGAATATTGAAAATATTTGAATATTGAAAATATTTGAAGTCCTTTTTATTTTCTTACGGAAACCAATAGTTTCGAAGATATATTGATTTGAAATATCGCATGACGTCACTTTTGACGAAGGACGACGCTACTAAAAAATGAGCCATCAAAAGAGAATGAGCCAAACAACCAACACCAGGAAATTGTCAGAAAGAAATCGAAATGACATATTGCGGCCTCTGTGACCAGAATGAGGAGTGAAAAAATGTAAGTTGTGTGAAAAGAAACTAAAAATTGACACTAACAGGAAAGGCGCATGGGAAGGTTTGGTAAAACAAGCTATAAAAATGACGGCTTCATCAAATGAAAAGTTTCCCCCATATAAAGTCGGTGATACAGTCCGAGTAAAAATGACTGACGTGGACAGAGGTAGAGGCGACGTTCCCTATGTGTTAATGGTTGTACTTCAATGTAACGACAAGGGGTTATACAAATTAGGAAACAAATAAATACGGTACTATAACAGAACTACTTTCAAGAAATCAGTTCACTGTGTGTGACTCAAAATTTTTAGATATTGACATGGTTTCACACGAAAAGAAATCACTACGCCAATGCACAATCGACCTCTGGTGGGCAAGGCTATAAAAGATGCCACTGCAAAACCAAATGTGGCAACAAAAAATGCCTCTGCAAAGCTGCTGGTATTTTGTGCAACTCAAAATGTTAATAAAGTTTAAGTTGTTCTAATAAATAGTTTATTTTACTTGATAAAAGTGTGATTTATAATTATTATAATTAAATTATAATACGCAACTACTTATTATCTGTTGTTAAAAAATGTTCCTGATTGTTTAGGAACAATAGGTTTTAGGTATTAAGAATTATTAGGAAATAATTAATTATTACAGTGTGATTTATAAGAATAAAAAAACTACGTTTCTTTTTATTCGATGTTTTTTAATATCTAAAAAAGGTCTGTTGATAGCATGCCAGCTACAACTAAGTACTGCCAATCCCTGTTAGATAAAACTAAGGCACGCGCTGTTGCTGCAGACGCTGTGAGTCACACTCGCTAGTAGACCTGCAGTAGATTAGCAGCACCTGGCGCTCACAACCTGCAGAGCCGCGTGCCTCGCTATGCCCTCCACTCCGCGCTGCTGCAGATGCTGTGAGTCATGAGTGTGACGCGGGGCGGAAGGCTTGGCGGGACACGCATTTTAGTTTTATCTAACAGGGATTGTCTGTACCTACTCCCAAAGCGTCGAAAATGATAGAGTATAATCGATTGCAGATGCACGATCGTTTTCGAGTAACCCCTCGAAATTGATCGAGGACACTCGATTGTTTTCGAGGACGCTCAATAGTTTTCGAGAACGTTCGATACATTTCGAGGACGCTCGATAGATTTCGAGGACGCTTGATGGTTTTCGAGTAACTCTCGAAACTGATCGAGGACGCTCGATGGTTTTCCAGGACGCTCGATAGACTTCAAATTTAGGGCGCCACTGACCGGTATAACGCACCAATAAGTAAGCTCAGACGGATTTTTGTATCGGATTGGGAGCTCCATCAACCAGGAGTGGGTGGTGAGTAGCAGATTCTCCTTATTTTACCAGTCCTACCTTTTACAGTAACCGGTTAAGGATTAAGGATTAACTTGTACATAATTTGGGGCGCCACGCTCCCCCAACTGGTATAATAATAATAAGCAAGCCTTTATCGGTTGGGTCATGCCCGTCCTAATGTATTCTTTTGGTATACTCAACTGGACTCAGACTGAACTTGACACCCTGCAGTCTGCGCCTAGTCTGGACACTGCTGACTACAAATGGCATGCATCACCCTAGTTCGTCGTTCATGAGGTTGTACATTCCGCGGAAGTGTGGCTTATTAAATGCTTATTATAAAAAATAAAGACCCTTCACAACCGTGAGGTGTGCAACCTTAGGGAATATTTCCTGAAAGTCAACGAGGGTATGCATCGAGAAGTAGCAGCGGTGGACCATCTCCACTATCTTTGGCAAAAGTGAACTGGCGCAAATCTGTGGTACTGAGCATCAATGATCGCAAGAAGGTATGGCATAGCACGGAGCTCCACGGACGCTTCTTCTGGGCCCTTCATGGGCCCAGTGTAGATTTTCTAGCTTCCGTATCTTGACTACGATTCAGTAATCTTTTTAACTCAAACTCAACTCAAAAGTATTTATTTCTATTAAACCATAATTTGGTACTTTTGAAACGTCAACAAATATGAAATAAATAATAGTCTGTCAGTCTGTCCGTCAGTGAAGCTAGGCTTTCTTTATTTTATTGTAAGTACCTAGTATTTAAAAATGTAAATTGTAGAGAATTTTAAATAAATATATGTGAATAATAATAAAGCCGCAGGGCACTTTGAGGCGAGGTGACGGGCATTAGCGACCCCGCGGGCTACCATCATCCCGAGTGCTCCAGGGAGAAGTCACCGTTTCTTATTATCCGGCTTGTCTTAATTGGCTGGCTGGAGCCGAGTTCTAGCCGGAATGATATCGGATAGACATAGTTTTATCCAACAGGGAATGGCTGGACTTAGTTGTAGCTGACATGATGAAGGCTAGACCTAGTTTTATCCGAAAACAATCAGCTCGTACTAGGTTTAACCAAGAGTAAGTGTCTACATCTAGTTCTAACCGGCTAACACTAGGTGTTTTTTTTTTTTTAAAGGGGGTAAATCATCGAATGACTGCTCCCGCCTGGGTGAGGCGGGAGGGAGTGTCAGACTCTTACTGACTAAAAACCACCCCGTTCCTTCTCCTGCACGTCGAGCCGGAGCCCCGGTTACCCGTTAGGTTCTCCGCGACACCGAATCGGCATCGGCCCTATTGGGCCCCATCTGTGGTGGTCTGATGGCTCTTTGAGGCGCGCGCGGAACGCGACGCGCCGTACGCTCGGGTCTGTTTCTGGTCGGACGGGGAGCCACCCATGCTCGCCGTCCGCAGGCCCGCGCTTACGGTGGCCGGAGATCGTCCCGCGATCCCCGACGCCCGGTGTGTCCTTCGCGATGGCTGGGTTGCGAGGAGGCAGCGCTTCGCTGCCTCACGCGTCCCGCCTCCTCCTTAGCTAGCATGACTGCTTCGCAAAAGGAGGAGACGGCATCCCAATCCCCCTCGCTCCGCATCATGGCCTGCACTAGGCCCGGACGCGAGAGGTCGCCATCGCCGATCACTTCCCTGAGGACACGGCGGTGCTCAGCCCACGCAGGGCATTCCGCTACAGTATGTTCCACCGTGTCCTCAGGGCGGTCCTCGCAGTGATGACACCCAGACGTTTCCTCCCGCCCCATCAGACACAGGGACCTCCCGAAACTCCCATGCCCGGTAACACTAGGTGTAGCCGCATTTCGAGTATTAGCCGTAACATATATAAAAATGAAACCCGTTTCCCGTTGTCACGCTATAGCTTGACAACGGCTTGATCAATTTGGCTGATTATTTGTTTATTGTGTTTGTTATTGTCAGGTGAATGTTCTTATGATGCAAAAAAATCGTGAAAATGCTACGGGAACGAGAGTAGTAAGCTATAAAATATCACACTATGGTCAATAGGAGCGGAGTAGTGCGGGTGAAACCGCACCAGTGTCGCTAGTAGGGTACAAGTACCAGAGTGTCAAGCACGAATAACTGTCGCATTCGTAACGTAATAGTATCGAGCGCGTTCGGCGCTCTGATTGGCCGGCTCAAGTGAACCAACCAATCAGAACGCTTAACTTGCTCGATACTGTTACGACACGATTGCGATAGTTATTCGTGCTTGGCCCTCTGTGTACCTACTTAAAGCATGGTAATTAGGTTGAATGTACCGAAAAATGCTCAATGGTCTTGAATAATAGGATTTTATGCTTCATTAAAGTATTTTAGCGCGCCATTGGGTTGGCAAGACAATGTCGCACATTTATAAGTACTAAGGCTTTCTTCTTTGAAGACAAAAGCAGAGGTGTACTGTACATATTTAAGACACCCACTTTATCACTATCCTTATCCTTACTATCCTTATCCTTACTATCCTTACTAATATTATAAATGGGAGTGAGTTTGTTTGTTTGTTTGTTTGTTTGTTCCACTTTCACGCCGTAACTACTAAACCGATTGCTTTGAAATTTTGCAGACGTAAAGTTAGAAGTCTGGATTAAACAATAGGGTATAAAAAACGTATATTGTCGAGGGAAAACAAAATTATTGGTATAGATGGCGCTGTGTGTATTGGTATATGTCACATAGGCTACTTTTTATCATTTTGTGACGCGAGCGAAGCCGCGGGTAAAAGCTAGTATGCCATAAATATCGTAATAATTATATGCTTATTTAGCCAGGGTGAGCATGCAGTTGCAGCTGGTGATGATGAGTTTAAAAAATCCTTTTTTTTCTGCGTGACACAGTCCACATAACATATAACATTACGTCTTTTATCTCCAAAGAGGTAGGCAGAGGTGCACATTACGGCACTTAATACCTCTGTACAATATCCCATGTAATAGGGGGTGAGCCTATTGCCATATATCGGGCACAATTCCAGACGCCGTGATTTTTTTTAAATCATGTAATATTTAGCCCGACCCGGTAATCAACCAACGGTTTCAGCCAACTAGGCGGTAGTCCAGTCCACAGCTGGATCATGGGCCTCTTTCAGATAAGAGGAGTTTATCATATTCTCTACGCCTCGCAGGCAGG